GGGGGGGGGGGGGGGGGGGGGGTCTAATAAAGCCAAAAACGAGTAAAAATGAATTATTTCCTTACATTGGCACGACCTAAAGACTAATTGAGACTGTCAATTTTCTCATTGCATCTGGAGAATCAGGACTGAGTCTGTTTAAGAAAAAAAAATGTAAAAAAAGAGTCGGAGAGGAACATGCGAGCTCCCTCCTCATCACCAACCTGCGAGGTCTCGCTCTGCGCTGTCGCTCCGGTAGTCCACATAATAATGGAAAATGGAAGCGAGGCCCCCAAAGCCATGAGGACGGCTCCAGAGGGGGCCCCATCCCCGCAGGGACGCGCCCTGTGCGTAATCACGGAGGAAATCATTGTCAGCCTGCTGCTCTCAAACACTGACAGAGAGGCATGATTAAAATCCGAGGGACGTCGGCAAGAGCTGGCGTCTGGATCGAGGAGTCCCCGGATCCGGAGCCTGGACTTCTGTGGACTTCTTGTGAAGGCGGATTGGTCCCCCTTCTGGCAGACGAGACTCAGCAGCGTCTCTGTGAGAAATGCGCATTCAAATGCAGAACCATTTCACACTTTTCAATTGCATGTTGCATTTCAGATTGGATAATAAAGGGTTGTGCCTCCGTATGTTTAGACTTGGGTTACTCACCACAGTTGTATGGGATATTTATGGAAGTTTTTCACACTGAGCACAATTTTTGTTGGGAATGTCAAGACTTTATAATGATGATAATAATAATAATGCATTAGGCTATGTTGTGGCCACTGACTGCCCACACTCCAGTCACACTTTCTCCATCTAGGTCTGATATGATTGGCTGGTTTTACAATGGTAACCATAAAAACATAACATAAACTCTTTGAAATGTCAAATATAACACTGACGGTTAAACACACACTCTTTCCCTTGACTTGAAAAAATAATAAATAAAATAACACTTGATTTCAAAATTTTTCTCCTTATCCTTATCCAGTCCTATGCAAAGCATGCTTTGAAGATTTCATGCAAGAACTAGAAATCTACTGCCCAGTTTCCAAAGTAGGCTAAACAATAATATTACAATTAATTAATTAATTAATAGATATGTGTTTACATTACCAAGTATATTAAGTTAATATAATGATCAACATTGTTACGTCAACAGAACTCATAAAATATAATTTGCAATTTAAAAGGTTTAATTAAAGGGGTCATATGACGCGATTTCAAGTTTT